GGCCTAATCTTGGTTGGTTGGTGCTTGAAGGGTTCGCCTTAACAAAATGTTGATAAGTATGGCTGTTTACTTTTCAGAAGGCAGTAAACATTTCCTTAAACATTCTATTAAAACCATTTCACTCGATGCTTCACAAAAACGTGGATGATGAAGGTGCAAACAAGAGAATAATCATTGTGAACACACACAAAAGCTTTTTTTTTTTTTAAATAGAAGATTACAACTGAGACTCACAATAGTGGGATGAATACAATGAATCGGAAGTAACCCGTACAAATGATGAAAAGAATAATTTAGACATAGCAACAGAAGTATTTAACTTACTTATCAAGTAAAATGTGAAAACATCTTAAGATCGAGTGACTTTTTAGCCAGTTGATCTTAAAGGTGACTGTTTAATTAGTTAGCCTAACTCGCTCGTTATAGCACCGAAAGGTTTTAATTCATAAGAAATGTAGACTATTTTGAATGTATGTTCTTTGTGCATCTGGCAACACATTCTGCAATTTATTGTCCTTCTGCTAAAATGAAAGCATATTTTGTGCTTCTTTTAATTACTAATCAAAACCTGCATATAAGCTGGAGATGAAATGAACAACAAAAGTAGAGAGGAAGATTCCAAGGTACTCAGTAAGGTTTGGTGAGTTCTTTTCAAAGGTTTGAAAATTTTATTTGAACCGGTGAAAAACCTACTGCAAACAGTTTACAAAGTCTGCTGCGTTTGGGAATGGAAGGTATTGAAGAAGAATACGCAGTCAACTACACCGATCCCATCCACAATGACGAAAAAAACAACCTTTCTATCCCCTCGACAATGTATAAATATGTATAAAGGCTTATGCAAACATTTTCATTACAAACGAGAAGTATACTGCATCAAGATATATCTCTTCTTTGCCTGAGTAATTCTAGTTCTTCATAATGAAGGGTTTCATCTTACAATTTGTCGGGTTTCTATGTTTGGCTAGTGTTCTTCTACCTAGCGAAGCTTTGACGCATCGCTTTAAATTTGTGGTGAGTATTATGCTTCTTCAATATCAATTAAGAAGATCCATTAAGCAATTTCATTTAATTTTTTGTCATAGCTAAAAGTCGTTATTACATTGTTGCCAAGCATTTTATATGATACTTGTTGCATATCGAGTTGTGTACCTATCTCATTGTCTGAGTTCTTGTTAAGCAAGTAGACCTAAGAAAAAAAAGTGGGAAGCTATTTTAAGTTGTCTCGAAACTATTGGCAATTTTATTATTTTTCGGAATCAAACTGTCCACTAGAATCTTTTATCCATGCATATTAATTCGTCCATGCATAACTTGCTAAACACCATGAATGGTCAATTTAATTCACAACAATGATGTTGAAGAGACGACGCATAATTTATCTTTGTCCGGTTTGAATTTGATTTTATGGGCCTAATGTTTACAACTCACCTCATGTATGCAGATAGAAGAAGCTTCATATACAAGACTTTGCAGCACTAAGAATATATTGACAGTAAATGGCCAATTTCCAGGACCAACTCTGCGCATTCGTCAAGGCGATACGGCCATTGTTCATGTCCACAACACGGGAAAAGAAAACATCACCATTCACTGGTATTTATTTACACAACTTTTCTTCTTTTTAATTGCAAGGATGCAATCCTAAATAATGAACTCATCAGCTAGAAAAATAATGAGTTTTGTTCCTTTTTAGGCATGGAGTGAAACAGCCGAGGTATCCATGGTCAGATGGCCCAGAATACATAACTCAGTGCCCTATCATGCCTGGAGAATCATTTACTCAAGTGATTGGGATTTCTGATGAGATTGGAACCTTGTGGTGGCATGCTCATAGCGATTGGTCTCGAGCAACAGTTTATGGTGCTCTTATTATCTACCCTAAGAAAGGAGATAGTTATCCATTTCCCAAGCCTCATGCAGAAGTGCCCATCATCTTAGGTATATAATAAAATTTACTAGTATTTACTTTTTGACTTGTGTTGGCAGATAAAATATTATTAATTGACTTTGGTTTTCAAAAGAATTTTGGAAAACAAATAATGTGCATGATTGGTGAAATTCTGTGGCAAATGCAGGAGAATGGTGGAAGAGTGACATACAAGCTGTTCTTAGCCAGTTTTTACGTGGTGGAGGAGACCCGAATGTCTCTGATGCTTATCTCATAAATGGTCAGCCCGGTGATCTCTGTGAATGTTCAAAGCCAGGTACAGACACATAAATAAATTCTAGTTGAAAAAAGAATCATTCACTTCCAATGGAAAATTTTCCTTGTATGCATATCTATTTGTAGGACTTGGACTTTTTCAACTTCTTTAAACATTAGAATTTGTAGAATGCGTCTTAATTTGGTCGTTTTCGAAAAGGGTTATGGAAAAACAAAAGAATTTTGTGAATATTTTGGGTGACAAATTTTTGTCTCAAGAACAAAACACATGATAATCTTTGCAGATACATACGTTTAATTCCGATTCACAACATGATTATTTTTCCAACAATTTGCAGATACATTCAGGCTGACGGTGGATTATGGCAAGACTTATTTGCTTCGGATGATAAACAATGCCATGAACAACATCCTTTTCTTTTCCATTGCAAAGCATCAAATTACTGTGGTAGGATCAGATGGGAGCTACACAAAGCCATTCAAGAGTGATTATGTTGCTATATCCCCAGGACAAACCATTGACTTCTTGTTAGAAGCCAATCAAGCACCTGATCACTATTACATGGCTGCTAAAGCTTATAACAGTGCCCGTCCTGTTAGATTCAGCAATTCCACCACAACTGGAATCATACAATATCGTGGAAATTATACTCCATCTTCACCACCATCTTTCCCAAATCTTCCACTGTTCAATGATACTAAAGCATCCACTTCTTTCACAGGAAGCCTAAGAATTTTAGCAAGTAAAGTTGATGTTCCGCTCAAAGTGGACACCAAGCTTTTTTTCACACTTTCTATAAATACACTCCCTTGTGAAGGAAATAATACTTGTGCTGGACCAGGAGGCAACCGGCTTGTAGCCAGCGTAAACAACATAACCTTTGAGAGCCCCCATATTGACATTCTTGAAGCTTACTATCGCCACCTCAAAGGAGTCTACGGAGATCAATTTCCAAGTTTTCCACCTTTGAAATTCAACTATACAGCAAATAATCTTCCAGCGGAACTTCAAAGGCCTACTAGGGATAGGCAAGTTAGAGTTCTTGAGTACAACTCGAATGTGGAGATTGTTTTCCAGGGAACAAATTTGGTTGCTGGGATTGATCACCCGATGCATTTACATGGATATAGTTTCTATGTAGTTGGCTGGGGTATTGGGAACTTTGACGAGAAGAAGGACCCTTTGAATTATAATCTTGTTGACCCTCCTCTCATGAACACTATTGCTGTTCCAAGAAATGGCTGGACAACCATCAGGTTCAAGGCAAACAACCCTGGTATGTATTGTTCAATTGTTTTCCCTTGTGTTATATCATATAGCTTGCTTGATCAATAGCTCTTTCAGATATGATTTCAATTTTCCTGAAGGAGAAGTACAGTGAATTAATTAATTCAAAATGTTGGGGGATGATTAACACTTAGAACCATATAGATATCCGCCGTATATACTTTTGGATATTTTTACTTAATTAGATTATATTGAATTACCCCAATTTTGTCTTCTTTAACAAATTAAAGGAGTCTATTGATGAAAAAGGGCTTACATGATTTGTTGCAGGTGTGTGGCTCATGCATTGTCATCTAGAGCGTCATGTAAGTTGGGGAATGGAAATGGCATTCATAGTTAAGGATGGCAAGGGTCCAGGAGAGCAAATTCTCCCTCCACCTCCAGACATGCCTAAATGTTAATGCTGGAATTCTAGTTAGCTGGCAAGGCCTCTTCATGCAGCCACCTCTAGTCTTTCCTTAAAGAGTATCATTGATATGGAAAAAAAAATTTCCATTAGTTTATTTCATTTATTTGTTGGCAATAAAACAAGAAAAAAAAAGCTTGTATTCTTCTCAATATCTTTCTGCCTAATCGATTGTCCTGTAACCTCTTTTTTTTTTTTATTTGTAGTCAACGAATTATAAGTTGACGAGAGAATAATGCGTTGTTATTATTATAGAATCATTCTGTTGTTTGTTTTTCTTTTGCATCCATCTAATAATGGTACTTATGTCCGTGATGTTGATGTTTAATGCCATAGATCTGTATCAATACATGTTTAAGTCAACATGAAGTCAACGAGATACTCAGATTCTCATTTTGATTTGTGATAATTCTTCAACAACCCTTTAGTACCTAAAGATTTAAAAGTAGCTAGTTTGACTCACAAACTTTGTGAACATAACTAATTACAGTTTAAAGAGGTCAACCAAATATCAAGAGTCAGTTTCAACTGATGGCAGTAATTTTGCATACTTACTTCTTCTTATGTCGCCAACAAAACATAATACACAGGATCTTGTGAAGATTCTTGAGGTGACAGCTTGAACAATTGCAAAACTATGTAGGCACATGCAGTAATGCTGCAAAGAAGTAGATAAGTTATACATAATTGCTCATTACAAACAAATAAACCACCAAAATTAAACAAATGTAGATTGGGAGATATAATATGGGAATACGTGAGAAGGTAGCCTTGACGTGAAATCACAAAATGACTTAAATCATTGTCAAATTGCTCTATTGCAACCTACTAAGGGAGAAGGTCATTCAGAATAAATGATTTTCCATTTTCCTTTTACTTCATGCTTTTTTTTCCCTGGAAGATGCAGCCAGAGGGGACTAAAGAAACAAGACACCCTAATCTAAACGTGTTCAGCATTAGATTGACATTAACCATTTCAAAGCTACAATTTCATTTCTATCCATATTTTCCGCAAAAATAATCCAGGCCAATTATGGCATCAGTTATCAATTGTGTACCATAATCAAGACTGCTAAAAGTTAATTATAAAAAAGAATGCAGAAGAACTTACAAGAGTATTGCCATACCTTCCCAACATACAATAAAATTATCCAAAGTATTGCACTGATCCAATTTGATTCCTTGTAAATAACCCAAGCCTGATGTCCATAAGACAGGTAATGCACTTTTAAAGGCAAATATTGAGGATTAAAGAATGTAAGTCTCATTTGTAAATAAACTTACTTTGGCTATTTTATTTTGCTTTCCAAGTATGAGAAGTTAACAGAAAAGAATTAAAAAATAATGCTGCAACTTAAGTGGACAACAGTTCAAGCTTACGATCTCTCCCATTCATGCCTAAGTAAGAAGCACTTATATTGTAGCTGAAGTCAAGAATTCCAAAGTCCTACTACATCACAAGATCAGCTAATTTCATCTCCTCGACAGAGACTTAATGTTTTCTTGTAAGATGCTAGCAAAATATTTCTTCAGTCGCCTAAGGGAGTAGAGTTTGAACACTCTCAAACCAGAAATATCATTGCCTACTGAGAGAATGTCTAATTTAGGATAGACGGAAAATTCATAAACAATGTAAACAAAATTCATCTAGTGAATGCATAACTACAAGTGTCATACCCCAATAGCTGCAGAGAAAATGTCTGACTTAAGAGATACTCCTATCAAGCATCCACGTGCAAATGCCCAAAAAAAAAATGGTAGAGAGAGTAACCACACAAAGTAAAAGTAGTATCATACCCCTAAGGCTAGGATATTGATATAGAAATCAATCAAAGTTGCAGTCATCCACCTGCAAGGAATTCCACGGAAAATCAATTATACCGTAAATGTTTCTTTGCCAGATCACTCACAATTATTAGTCAAATTATGAATGCCAAAAGCTTGTAACTTAAAAAAAAAATTAGAACAGAGCGAAGAAGACAGAAATTTTCATCCATTGGAACTGTCCAAGTGACAATCAAAGTGATCCTTTTACTGAATCATTAAGATGATACATACAGCAAAATGCATGCAGGCTAAAACCCACGTAAGGCCTATCAAGAAATACCAAGTTATGATTGTGAACACAGAGAAATATAAGAAGAACATACGGGGTAAGGAGTTCTTTACGAAAAGGAAGGCCATCAGTGGCGATGGTGTAGATAAGGGTGGCCTGTCATCAAACATCCCAGCAGAATGAACAGACTTTTCAACCCTGTTGCCACTGACACTGCCATTAGTTCCCAAGTCTTCTTGCTCCTCCGGAATTCAATCACTGATGGAGTTTGTCTCAGGCTAAGGCGAGAGTCACAGTACAGATTCAGAGAAGGAGACGGGAAGAAAATAAGGAGTGCGTTTGAGTACTAGATTATTTGAGATAATACGTTTTTTGAATATGATATATGGGATAAATTGGTGATTAGAAAATATATTGATAATACAAATAAATAAAATTTTAAAATAATCCACAATCCAAACTAGATGAAAATCCAAAATGAAATCCATAATGGAATTTTCCTTTCTTTTCTTGGAAGCAAATAATTGCACTAATGATTAAGGAGAAAGTAAGAATTTTGAAGGAAGATAGATACTGAAGGCCGCCATTAATCCACGTCTTATGCATTTGGGCCATTGCTGTGAAGTGGTCCAGAGAACTAGACTTGGATGACTGAATTTTCCTCTTTGATTCCATACTCCTTAGTTTACTTTCTTTCTTTTTCTTTTCTTTTTTTTTTGGGTCCTACTTATTTTTCTATTTTATTTCTCTAATAAAAACTGATATCCCTATTTTATTGAGAAAAATTACGAAAACTTCACTCCAGCTGTTTAATAATGTTGACATTGAAAATATTCTGTATGTGCAAAATATGAAAGTAAAAAAAAAAAAAAATCCTCCATATATGTAGAACGCATACTATGTAGAAAGCCCCCAAAATATAACTATAGTGAAATGCTATAGTGTAGTATTTGAAAAATACCTTCAAAAAGATTTAATTCATGCAAACCTTTTATTATTTGGAAGAAAATAACCCGTATTCACTAATAAGGCTTTGACTCCTCCGGATATTAGTTAAGTTGGCCGTAAGTGGAAAAAGTAAAATTGTTAATGCATCTAAATACAAGAGGACAATGAATGTGAATTTGTTGGCGTGGTAACAATTAGAAAAATTTGTTGGCTAATTACCATATATGAATTCTAGTTAACTATTAAAATGTCTCAAGTAAATCAATAGTGATCTTGGTTACTTTTAGATTTTGCAAAATCTGATCACAGAAAGTGATTACAAAAAATAATCAGAATCAACAAAACTACTCTTTCGTTAATTATGATTTTAACTTTTTTGGTTATTAAAAAATTTATAATCCAAACGCAATTTAAAAGCAGGATGCATAATCAATTAAAATAATCAACCGAGAACACGCCTTTAGTTTTTACCAAATCGTTGAGTACTAGACTATGTCCATAGCATTTCTACTCGTTAAGGTAGTTAATTTTTATTTAAGGATCAATTAGACTGAAACAACACTGGATATCCATTCTCGACTTAATTTGGGGTATTACTGTAGTAATTCAATTGTAATCACGCCTGAAATAACAACAGTGATACATATAAAACAGTCTAAATTGAAACTGAAAACAGGAGTCGATGATTGAAACTGAAAACAGGAGTCGATGACATACTACAATTCTTCAGATCCCTCAAAAATACAAAACAAAAACAAGACAAAAGGGGGGAATCAGGGCTAAACAAATTTGATGTCTACATGTGGAGGTCAGCACAGAGCATAGCTTAGTGATACAAAAGAATAATCAGGATTATCAAAGTAAAATTCGGCCCTCAGACTAAAATGATGTGTTAACAAGCACAACCACCTCTTTGCTCAGCTTCCGAAACAGCCTCAGGAATATTTTGGAAGTATCTGCAAATCGAAATTACCACAATTAGAAGCACAACTTCTTAGATGGTTGAAAGGTGGCAACCTCCCCTCCCCCCCCCCCCCAACACCCAAATGGCATGCATATAGATATCAATGGGTGTAGTTGATTCCTAGACCGGGTGTATCAGACTCTGATGATGAAATTTTCCACTTCCAGTTGAGCTAATGAGGGTGCAAATAAACCATAGAAAGGCATCATCCAGTCTAGTCTCAGCTTGCGAGCACAAGCAGCAAAAAGATTCCACCATTTCGCTAAGAAGTCAATACCCTAGTATTGCGATCTAATGTTCAAGAATAGTTCTATTCCTACAATATAAGGAATCTATAGAGCATAACTTTCAAATTCTGCATTATGTAAATCACTTGTACATTGTCATAGTCAAATCAACAATTGGTATTTCTTCGCGCTTAGCCACCTCCACATTCAAACCAAAGATTTGCACTACAGTGAGCAAGAGGCCCTCAATCGGCATAAAGAATATTTAACAGTTCTGAATGGCCAATAAGCACATAACAATAACGATAGAGTGCTTATAACCAAAGGACATAACAATCAAGTTTGCACCAATTAACCTATGAAGAAGCTGATTCGTGATATTAGACTACATTGGCAGCAAGTACTTTTCAATATCAAGAGAAAGTCACCAATCTGCCAAGGAGGTAAATAAAAAGCCAAAAAAGGGAAAACTGCTGCCTCAACTTTTTTAGCAATCATAGAAAAGGTAAAGAGACGGAAAAAATGCTTAAGAATACAGATTATGAGGTTAGACATACAAAAGAATGGTAAAAACTGTGCCTACACTAATCTTAGTGGATTAAACTGTAATCAAGATCAACATGTTATACATCATACGTTCACGTCAACCTAAGATAAGTTGCCTTTAGGTGTACATAACTAACTGGTTAAAATTGCTACAGGAGGAGAAAAAAAGAACTGAAAAAGAAAAAGTAGAACCAGCATGGTTAAACTCATTTGTACAGTGAATTTCTTGAAATAATGAGAATCTAACAGTCTTCTTAAAGCGTGTAGAAGTATAAATTGGAAGAACCCATTCAACCCTTCAACAGATAAAGTATTGAAGCATTGCCCAGTTGACAATTTGGTGCAGATTAAACACTCCTCAGTCAATAATAAATATGTAAAGCAGACACTCTTCATTCTTTGCCAGATAGAAAAGTGAGATGTAGACACATGCAGATGCATTTCAGCACAAAACTTTAATGATATAGACATGCTTGACTGTATAAATATAAGAGAGAATTATTAACTATGTGTTTTTCTGCTAACTTTTTCAGCATGGCAAAGAAATATGCACGCAAGCAATAATCATAACACTCCTGAATCTCAAACAGGAAACTCACATATCCTGCTCATGCTCATTGGCTAAAGCAGTTTTTGCAATGCAGAAGAATGAAGCATCAACATTGTAATCCTCCTTGGCAGATGTCTCAAAGTATGGGATGTTCCCTTTTGAAGCACACCATTCCTTCGCTTTTTTCTCAGAAACCTATGGGCAGATAATCAGAACAAACCTAACGAAACACAAAAAACAATAAAAGTTTGTTGAAAAATATCTTACCACTCTGCTATTCCCACCATCTATATCAATTTTGTTACCAAGTAATATAAATGGAAAAGTCTTTGGATCTGGAGGGTTTGCCTGTGTAACAACAAAATTAGATTAATTCACAGAGAACAGATTAGTGTTCAATTTATTACCATGGATCTGCATCAGATAAAACTATTCTAGACTTGATGAAATGCCAAGCAAACTTTAGAAGAGAACCTATCAATAGGTGATACTATGGTCTTAAATCATTCAATAGTGACATTAACTACTTGATTTTCCAAAAAAAAAATCTATTTGAAATCTCTCTGAATTTTTGAATAGGGTGTAGCAATTTTACTACACCAATTTTACTATAGGGTGTAGCAATTTTACTAAGTAAAATTGACACACCAAGTTCCAGTACAAAAATTTGCTTTTCAGAATTTTCAAACAATCAGTTTTCTATCATATCCTGCAGACTACAACCTCAGAGTATATAAACCAATGCCTTGCAATTTTTAACCATGAGACATGCTGTTTTTGTGGGGCTTTTTATGCTCTTTCATGCCAACAGATGGAGATAATTGAGCCATGTGACATCTATCAATGTTTCTCAAAATCATCTATTACCAAAACTAACATTATTCTCTAGCAATACAAATTGCAATCATTATGGAGAAACTCCTTGAGATCCATGTCATTCATTCCAAGGATTTTTAAAAGCAACAATTTTCAGGACGATACTACATATCACAAAGATTAGCATTATATCATTGGATTTATTTTGTTGAGCTTATGATCAGATACTAGTGTGCCAATATCATCTGCAAAGACATGACTCATCTAGCCTAAATCCCTTGTGCTCCTAAAAGGTATAATATACTTAATACATTCAGGAATGATAATAAACATATGACTGAACTGAAATGCCGCCAGAAATTGCCTCATGCATCCATAAATAGTCCTGGAACTTCATACCAAATTCACAGCTTTTATTTCCACAAATAGAAGTAATCCCAAATTCACAGTGGTCTTTGATACAAAAATGGAATCACTCAAGAACTAATGCGAAACAAGACTACATGAAAACATGACTTGCTTTACAATATCTCCAGAGGCTGCAATTATTGACGTCACCTTTCAGAATTCTCAGAGCTAAGCTAAAAGAATGAGTGAGGTCTTCTAGAGAATTATGAAGAATGACATAGAAATGCAAATCTAATAATGGTAGCTGACTAGATAGTAATTGACTAAAACAGTGAGAAAGGAGACGGATGCATATGCATGTAATATATACAAGTCGCTGAATGCACAAGGCATGGTCTTTGTTTACTACCTAAATGAGTTACAAATGCTCTTAATATTCACCATACCAAGAAAAAGCTAATGCAATAAAAAATTCCTCTTTTTCTTTCTTTTTTTTTTTTTTTTTTTTTTTTGGGGCAAGTAATTTTTTGTCCTTTTGCAAACAGGAGAAGACAAACTCTTATGCAAGCAAGCTTTAGCAATGAACAGTAAAGTTTTCCTGTATTAATTCCATTAATTGCTAAAACAGAATAACTAGCAACAAGCAGGTTGAGCATCTATGGTGTGCTTCTTACCATATCTGGATACAACTAAATTTCTAAGAAACTATGCACTACTAGTAGGAAGCAATAACTAGCAACAAACCAGAAGTAAGGAACTTGAGCAACAATTCACCAACCTGTCTGAGAAATTCTTCATGCCAATTGTCAAGGGTATCAAAAGATCTCATAACATTAACATCATAAACTAAAACACAGCAATCTGCCCTCTATAAAACGCAACCCAAGGCTTTGAAATCTCTCCTGCCCTGCAGTGTCCCAAATCTACCAACAAGAAATTGCTCAGTTACTCTAGGTTAAAAAACATGAATCTGACAACAAAACCAAAAGCTACAATTTTCTTGAACTCAAAACACCTACTTGTAGAGTAACAAGTCGGTCATCAATTTGGAGTTCTTTTGTCACAAAATCAGCTCCAATTGTAGCTTTGTACTGCTGACTAAACTTTTTGTGTACA